GAGTCAGCATCTTAACACTTGAGTCACTGTTATACAGTATACATTTTTATATACTGTATATTTATACATTTATACATTTGTATATACTGTATATACTCATGTATAAATCTAGAAATTTTAGTCAAAAAATTGACCCCCAAAAACTGAGTGGACTTATCCATGAGTCAATGTATTAACTCTTGTTTAAAAAAGGAACCATCCCTTGGTGAAAGGCAAGAGTGAAATCTGCCCTGGAAGAACTGACCCCCCCCTCTACTCTCTCACCCATCCAGCCTACAGAGTGATCACAAAAAGTTATGCCTGCAGGAATGTTGCCAATGTTTGGCATTGTTTTCCTTTGCTTTAACCTTTGATACATGCCCCTAAGTTTTACCATTGACTTATCCACAGGTCATATCAAAATCCATAATTTTGGCCCCAAAACCTGCCCTTGACTTATACATGAGGTCAACTTATAGTTCAATATATACGGTATGACTATAACATGGGTTGCTAACTTCTCATCAAGGAACCTGTTTCTTTATTCCAGCAAATGAGGCTACAGTTAAAGTTACAGTAGTAGACAGTACCCTAAAGGCACCAGACTCTATCCAAGGGGAATCCGAAGGCCTCATATGACAGATATCAAGAGGCATGAAGGGGGCAACTGTACCAATTTCCTCACCTTTAGGAGGACAGCTTGACTTCCAGAGGTGAAATGGCATCAAGAGGTATTTGGCTTTTACGCAAGGAAGTAAAACATATTTTACCGAACATGGAACTATGGTCATGTGCTGTGAAATAACTTCAGAGGACCTTGCTGAAACAATGGTCAATAGAATGGTCTGGGTGTATATCTATCAGTATATCTACCTACCTACCTCTATCCTAGGTACCTTTCAACTTCAAACGCACTTAAAGCAGTTATCAGCATTGTTAAAAACAAACTGAACAACAAAACCCTTAAATCACACATTAATATTACTGGATAGTGCTCAGTTTACTGTCCTTTTTTGGCAGGTATATGCCCCCACTCTCCATTGGGACTCCACACAAGATGGTGATAGTATCTCTGAGCTACATCCTGCTTATGGAGAAATTCTGGGCCCCATCTGAGGTTGCTATCTGAAGCAACTGCTTCACTCTACCCAATTGTCAAGGCAGGTTTGCATATTTCTTAACCAGCAGGGTTAAGAACATGGGGCCTTGGAGTGAAATATTATTATATTCAGTGGAACATAATTACCCAGAACAGAACCCTGGACCCTGCAATTTGAACTGGGGAGGAAACACCCCCATTGGGGTCCCCATTGGATGTGAAGTTTTTTCCTGTTACCAACTGCAGGGGTAAAGAGCCCGATCTGGGTTGGGACAGCAAGGAAGGATCCTTATCCTTATCTGGATTAGCACCTACCTTCTGCTCTTCTAAAGGGTAAAACTAGGATATAATTTCTTAGTGACAGTGTAAATTAATGTGTGGTTGGCAAGGCTGAATTGCTAATGCTGCAGTTAAAATAATTGCTTCAGACCAGGTAGGTAATTTTGATTTCCTTTCTTTTATTTAGAAATTATTTTAAGTGTATTTTTCCCCTGGGGAGGTGGCCCACAATTTTCATCAGATTCTCAAAGGGGTCCATGAACCAAAAAAAAAAAAAAAAAAAGAGGGGGGGAGGAGTAAGAACCATTAGGTATTAAAGATTGTTTTCCACCCAGTTTCTTTGATTATTCACTTGTAAAGTTTCTATTGACAAGCTACGGAGAATGATTTGGATGAAGGGACTTCACTTAAAGTAAGATGTACCCTTCAGGGCACCTTGCCAATGCCACTGAGAATGAGAAAGGTGTTAAAACTACATATTGGTTCTGCTCTTGCTCAATTTTTATATCAGCTCCATGGTGAAGTTGACAATACAAGCTTTCATTTCAATATATATTTCTGTTCTGCAGATAATGCAGCAATACCCTCAAGAACACCTATCAGCCTCAAAGAAGCATTGGAAGCACTAATACAGTACTGCAAGAAGGGCAAGTTAGAACTTAATTATCAGAAAACTAAAATTGTGGTGTTTGCCAAAAGACCCACAAGTTATTCCTGGAGAACAGATGGCCATAAAGTTGAGCAGGTCTTCTGTTTCAAATATCTGAGGGCAGTCAGGGGGATTATGTTCCTGATAATGCACACAGGAATACAACAGCCATTCTTAAATTCCATCAGGCAAGAGAAGGCACTATATACATGCAGATCTTAAACTATTCAAAGCCAAATTAATAGCACAATTTCTTTGTGGTGCCCAGCTGACCCCCTTTCCCAATTTAGCATCTTTAGAACTGGTACAATATAAATTTCTAAAATCGGTGTTTCAAGTTCCAAAATGTGTCTCCCATGTTACCCTGTGATTGGAGTCAGGCTTTATGAAAATGAAGACGAGAGTGTGGATGACCATACTTAACTATTGGCTTAGAATATTCTTTATTCCCATTTGCCTTGCTCCACTAACTTTGAATGATGATTAACAATCTATGTGGAAATAGGCAGTGATAAATAAAATCTTGTTACTGGGGGTGCATCTGCACTGTTGAAATAATGCATCAACACCACTTCCATGGCTCCATTTTACAGAATCCTGGGATCTGTGGTTTTGTGAGGCACCAGCACTCTTTGGTAAAGAAAGTTAAAGGTCTTGTAAAACCAAAAATCTCAAGATTCCATAGGGTTGTGTCAAACTACATTATTTCTATAGTGTAGATCCATCATGGGTTTTCCTTTAGTCCTTCTGCTCAATATGGGATATGATCAAGCCAAAGCAGCCATTAAACAACATGTAAAGCCAGCATGGTGCAATGGTATGAGTGTTGGACTAGAACTTTGGGAGACCAGGGTTCAATTCACTGCTTGAATATGAAACCCATTTGGTGACCTTGGGCAAGTCACATGCTCTCAGCCTCAGGGGAAGACAATGTCCTCTGAACAAATCTTACTAGGAAAACTCCATGATAGAGTTGCAATAAGTCAGAATTGACTTGAAGGCATACCACAACAAGTAGACATACAGCGTCTACTAATGGGTACTTCGTCTCCCCTGTGGCATAATTAACCAGTCTAGAAGTACCTAAATATCAGAGTGCCTTTACCCTGGCATGATGTCATGTTTTCCCCTCAGCTGTCCTTGAAGGCCGATATAGGAAGATCCCTTAGTCAGAGATACAATGCCCCCATGAGTCTGGCCATACAGAAACAATAGAGTATGTGTTACTCCAGTGTTTGTACTATAGAAACATCCGCATAAGCCTCATTTCATCCTTTTGTTGTTGTTGCTAACTGCCCTCTTGTCGATCTTGATTCATGGCAACCCTACGGATGGGGTCCCCACACTTTTTGAGCCGGGGGCTGGTTCACTGGCCTCCAGATCTTAGGAGGGCCGGAGGCGCATGTGCACACACACATGCGCACACACACACACACACACACTACTCGGGTGCCATTTTGTGTTCCACAATGGCACCCAGTCATGCACATGCGCCCGGTGTCACACGTGCATGCACACTACTCCGGTGCTGTTTTGTGTTCCAAAATGGTGCCTTGCGTTGCATGGCGGTAGCGGCAGCAGGACCGGCCATGGGCCGATTCAAAGGCCTTGACAGGCCGGGTTCAGCCCGTGGGCCATAGTTTAATAACCCCTGCTGTAAACCCTTAATACCCCTGACTTCTTTAATAGAGTCCATCTATCAGGCAAATGGCTTTCCTCTCTTCCTACTTCCTTCCATCTTCTCCAGCATTATTGTTTTCCCAGGTCCTCCCTTCTCGTGATGTATCTGAAGTATGACAGTCTCAGAAATAATTCAGCTTGAGACCACTTTAACTGCCCTGGCTCAGTGTGAAGGAATCATGGGAACTGTAGTTTATTGTGGCACCAGAGCTCTCTGACAGAGAAGACTCAATGTCTCAGAAAAAAATACAATTCCCATGATTCCTTAGCACTGAGCCAGGACAGTCAAAGTGGTCTCAAGTTGGATTATATCTGGCAGTCTGGCCTTCAGTTTGGTCATTTTGGCTTCCAGGGTGATTTCCGGCTTGATGGCTAAGACCCATTTGTTTGTCCTTTTGGCTGTCCATGGGATCCTCAGCACTCTTCTCCAGCACCACATTCTCTCAAATGCATTGATTTTCCTCCTATCTGCTTTCTTAACTGTCCAGCTCTCACATCAATACATGGTAAAAGGAAATACAATGGCTTTTATGATTCTAACTTTTGTGCTGAGTTATATGTCTTTGCATTTTAGAATCTTTTCTAGTTCTTTCATAGCTGCCCTCCCCATTCTTAGTCTTCTTCTGATTTCCTGACTGCAGTCCCCATTTCTATCAATGTTTGATCCCAGGTATGGGAATTCTTTTACTATTTCTATTTCTTCATATCTAGGCTGAACTTGTGAAGGTCCTCGGTGGCCATTGTTTTTGTTTTCTTTATGTTCAACATTAAGCCTGCCTTTGCACTTTCCTCTTTGATCTTCCTTAGTAGGTTTTCCAGGTCTGTGAGGTTTTCTGCTAGTACTATGGTGTCATCTGCATATCTTAGATTCTTGATATTCCTTCTT